CATCTTAGCGCATTTTTAGCCTGATGAGGATTGCTAAGAAAAAGGAGAGAAATCTTGTTTTAACAACATTAGAGACTGAACCAATGGTTAAACAAATATATAATATGTCATGCCAAGAATTTTATAAATATCTCAATAACGACGATAAACATTTAGTTCCATTATTTAAATCTCAAATAAAATATAATCAAGTTTTAGCAATGGCGCCATAAAATTTATTGTCAATTTTTAACTTAAAGATGAACAAATCTGCCACATAATTTTGTAAATCTTTGTTAAGATTCTTCAGATTGCTACTACACATTAACATCATGTAGTAGATTTCCTACATGTGTGTGAAATCATTCCTAATACCTCTGCCATTTATTATTGAAAAAATTTTTCAAAATGTTAGGACAGTTTTTATAATCTTTATTTAAGAATATTTTTTTTTTATAAAATTTTAAAATTTAATCGATGGCATTGTGCTGACTCAATTCTGTAAATACACTCTGTTTTTACCAAATTCACTGAGGCATTATCAGATCAGAAAGCTGACATGCAATTTATTGATAATCTCGAATCTGCTATATTTACCATTATATGGTTAGCTATGTCTTTGGATTTTTCACTATTTGAGGGGAGAAAATTTAATAGTTTTATTGAAAGGACCTTTATTTTGTTGAAATAGCGGAGGATCAAGGGAAATATTTTAATATTTCTCTTATTAGATGCATCTGTTAGAATTGCATATGTATGCCCATCTTTCAAATCTTCAAGAATTGACCTCCTGGGTTTAGGTCCTAAAACATTGATGATAGCCTTGCTCATTTTTGTTCTACAAGTATAGTTTTCATTTATATCAGAGTCGTTAAATATTATGGGGAAAAGATTCTACCAATATTGTGATGATAAGTATCTCGTGAATTTTGTACTACAAGATAAGTGATTACAATTGCCTCAACTGTAGTTACATCTGTATTATTTCTTATTTTTGGAGTACCTTATTATGTATTTAAACGTGATACGGGATAATTAAGCGCCTATCCCTCTAATGTTATACACACACAAGATAGATGCGGTCGCTTTGCGGGACATTCGCATAAAATATGTTTTTAATTGTAAAATTATAATCGTTTTTTTTATAAAATTTTATCTTGTTTACATTTTATATTTAAAAAGATCATTGATTTTTTAAAAATTAATATATTTTAATTAATCAAGATGTTATTTTATTTTGTGTTAATATGACCGATTAATACTAACCTTTAAATTGTTTTTTTTATGTTTATATAAATTGATTTTTATATAAATTGTGTAGATTGATTTTTTTATGAAAATTGTTATGTAATCCTGATTTTTTAGTTTGATAAAAAAATGTAAAATTTCAAAAATAAATTAAATATAATTAAATTGCAACTTTGATTTATTCCAAATTAAATATAATAATCTCGTAACATTCAAATATTTTTAGAAAACTTTATGGTGGCAGTTCCGCTACATATTCGAGGAAATCGTAAATAAATAAACAAATATTAAACAGATTCCCAATAATAATGTTAATATAAATATTGAATTCCAATATACTCAGACAATGGCAATTTTTTTTTGAGTAGATTAGAAGACATCTTCAAGGACACTCAGATCTCGGACATTGAAAAAGCAGGTTCCTTTGCGAGAAGACTATCAGATGAGGTATATATCAAATTAGACGAACTAAATAAAATTGGGCTATAATTATTTACAAAATATCCTAAAATCCACAGACAATATGATTTTAGCTACTGTAACATAAACAACTAGATAAAAAAAGTTCTGGAATGTAATATTTATATCATTCTAAAAACTCGTAAGAAATGATTAATTTGAAAAAGTGAAGAATAATTAAAAAAATTTAATGATAAATCTCTAAATTATGAATAAACTTATATGGGACAATAATAATAAAACAAAGTCTATTGACAAGTTAGAACATTATTTAAAATTTCATGATAGTAAGAATACTTTAAGCTTAATAGGTAATTTACCATATGAATTATATTTAGTCATGAAAGCAGTGTTTCCAAGAGAGTTAAATTCAAGTTATGATGAAATATTATATACATCAAAGTGTTTATGTAATTATAAATCGGCTACAGAAATAAAAGAAAATTGTTTTAATAAAAATTTTAGTAAATATAATAATGAGAATTATTATAAAAATAGAAAATTAGATAAAAAAACACATTATTATAAAAGAAATTATCATTATAATTGTAAATCTTTTAGTATCAAAAAATTGAAAAATATTGAAATAAAACCCAATATTCAAAAGGAAAGAGATTCTTATAAACTAAAAGAAATAAATTATATAATAAAATTTGAAACATTTGTGATTATAGAAAATAAGGAAATAAACGTTAAAGAAAATAAGGAAATAGACTTTAAAGAAAATAAGGAAATATTCATTAAAGAAAATAATGAAATAAAAAAAACTCTTACTAAATGCGATAAAAAAAAATTGAAACTTATAAATTTGAAGACAATTAAAAATATCACTAAGAGAAGTCATGTCTTCATTCTAAAATAATACTCAAGGATGTGATGAAGAGATTTTTTTCTAAAAATTTAAAGCTCAAAAAATTATTTTTTTACTAAATACAATCTTATGAATAATTATTATTTTAAAATACTTTTTAAATTAAAAAATAAAGGCATAAAGTTTAAATTTCTGAAGAGAGAGATGGATGTACAGGCGTACATATCATCTTATCATCTTTTATTAAAAAAATATGTACAGACGTACATATCATCTAATCCTCTTTTATTAGAAATATATATATATATATAAAATAAAAAAACGTTAAAAATATTATCTAACAACCTTGTCGATTTATCATCCTTTTATTATTCTAACATCCAAATTTGATCGATTTTCTAATTATTCATATATTTCGAAATCCTATTTAATGATAATTTTACAATTGGTGATAATAAAAATTTTGTAAAATTGACAATGATAATGACGGAGCTTAACGACAAGCCAGCGTACTCAGAACGATATTAACAAACCAACGTGATAGAATCAAGCCAACGACTACAATGACTTATGAACGACTTGAACAATCATATGAACAACCAAAATAAATATCATTTTCCAAGATTATGACAGACTGCATGATAAGATTTACATGCAAGAAAAACCTGGAGATTTTTTTTAAAGGGTGGAATGTTAATATGATCGATTAATACTAACCTTTAAATTGTTTTTTTTAATGTTTATATAAATTAATTTTTTTTTATATAAATTGTGTAGATTGATTTTTTTATATATTAATATGAAATTTGAAAAATAGTTACCGACTTTGTATTTATATAAACTAATTATAAAAATTTATAGGCGAAAAGTCAATTTTAGCAATTTTTATATTTCTACCGCAATTTTCATATTTCTCCCGCATAATACATTTCTCCCGCAATTTGAAAATTTTGACCTGGCAACCCTTGTCGTGAGAATATAATAGCCGACGTACAATATATGCTAGGCTACCCTTGCCCGATATTATGCCTAATCAAGATAACACATTGACGATTATTAATATTAATTTAGAGGATATGTAGGTTTAGGGGACAACCTGCGCAGGAATACGGAACAGGATTTGATGCTAAAACGAGTAGCAAGACATATTGAATAGGGCTGAATAAAAAGAATAGCCCAAAATATTAAGGGGTTATAATCATATGTAATAAAGACACAAGACCGCATACTGCGAAAACATGCTATCCTCCAGTTAAGGTATCGTGTGATAGCAAATACTACTGAACGAGTGATGGCGGGCAGCAATCGGACAGAGTGGGATGAGACACCAAGATAAGGGCAAACCAACAAAACGAATGATTGAAGAGATGTAGGCTTACCTCTCAATTAATAAAGAGGATATGTAATAATGTAGGAATATATTGTAATGTACTATTTATACATTATGATATTGGTTAATTAGATATAGTTATAATGATTATATATATGTATGTTTAATATGATATTGGGTGAGGTAAACTACCTACCAATAGCATCAATTATATCTATAATTTCCGCAATTGATTCCATGTGATCAACAACCTTGTAAAAATGTATATTAAAGATTGAATAGTGCGTTTATAGTTTAGTTAGTATAAGCGGATTAGTTTAGTAATCGCATAATTATACAAAAATTTAATATCTATTATCCATAGAATATAAATTAGATTTTACAACACAAAATCAGCTTACATATGATAAATAATCAAAATTTAGTCTCATATTTGCAAAAAATTTGGCGAAAAAATAAATTTCTTCAATGCCAAACCTTATCTGGTTTTAAATGTATTAAAAATTTTTATTTCAACTTACTTTTAAATAATTATTTTGTCAGATATAAAAATAATAATAATATAAAATCCGATTACACCAAAAGATAGTATATTTTGTTGCCATTGTTTATTTTTAATAATATAGACTTTTTCCATAGTACTTTTATTTATTTTATTTACTTATGATTATTTTTTTTTCATTTAAGATTTTCATCCATTTTTTTGCTTCTTTCTAACAGACTTATCTTTAGGGATAGTTAATAGAAATTAGGATATTTCTTAAATACCTTATAAAAAAAAGAGTATTTTACTGTTTCGAATACTAGTTAAAAAAAATATATAACTTTGGGAATAGTGATTGGTTGTTATATAAAAACTCCAGTTCTAAAGTTACTATTACTTTTGCTAATCGATAATATATTAAGACGTATAATTTGTAAACATAAATGCATTAATTAAATCTAAAAAAATAATATACAGTCAAGATTAGAAAAAATAGTATCAGCTAGTAGACAATAAATTATTCAATTAATTTCTCACAATTTTAGGCATATTTGTAAAATAACTAAGAATAGTAAATGCATCCCCCTAACCAAAACTATTTGATTTAAGAATAATTATTAAAATATTTTTTCTCGTGGATATATATTAATTTAATTTTCTAAAAAAAACTTTTTGTTTTAATGATAACGTGAGTTTATTGATTTCCGTTCGATAGTAGAATTCTAATTTTAAATTCTAAAAATTGTATTCTAAATATATTTTTCAAATTCGTTAGTTTATTATGGATTCTCCTGGCGTAAACGTATCTTCTAATAATTCCCAATCATCGCAATCATATCACAATGGAGGTTCTTTTGATCTAGATGCTCATGCAAAAACAAATCTAATAGTTAATTATTTACCACAAACGATGACCCAAGAAGAGATGAAATCATTATTTCAAAGTGTAGGTGAAGTTGATTCATGTAAATTGATAAAAGATAAAGCAACAGGTAATATTATCTTGTCTATTATATATATATATATGATAAACTAGGGCAAAGCTTAGGATATGGCTTTGTTAATTATACAAAAGAAGCTAACGCTGAAAAGGCAATAAATACTTTAAATAGTTTAAAATTACAAAACAAAACTATCAAGGTAAGCTTTATTATTTGCACAAAATATTATATATTTATAGGTTTCATTTGCTAGACCTAGTAGTGAATTTATCAAAGGTGCAAATTTATATGTTGCTGGGCTTCCAAAACATTGGAGTCAACCAGAATTAGAAAATCTATTCTCAGAATTTGGGAAAATAATTACATCACGTATTCTTTGTGATAATATGTCTGGTAAGAAAAATATTTCATATAAACTCATGTTTTTATCTATAAAATTTTAAATGCAAAACAAGAGATATATAAATAAAAAAATAAGGTTTATCAAAAGGTGTTGGGTTTGTACGTTTTGATCAAAGAAATGAAGCAGAAAAATCGATACAAAAATTAAATGGTTGTATACCTGATAGTGCTACTTCCCCCCTCACTGTTAAATTTGCAAATAATCCTGCTCAAGGTTCCAAGGGAGCCCAACAAATACAATCCTTAGCCACAAACATTAACAGCCTCAACCGAAATAGAATGCAAGGCCCTATTCACTCAACTCCTGGTAGATTTAGGTAACTATTATATATTTTTATATCTTATAATGTATAAACCTCATTCAAAGGCATCTATAATTTGTGCAATATGCTCATCATATTATTGGTGTAAAAAACGTGAGGGATAATAAATAATTGAATGTTTATTTGCCAAAACATAATATTTTATAATATTTTGTTTAGTTTTTAAATATATGAAAAAAATAAGTATCAATACCTATTTTATAAATTAATTTAACACAGAATCATATAACTTAATAAAAGGAATCAAAAATGTTAATACTAAGTTTATAAATTATTTATAACTTATTGAGATTTAGAAAAAACACTTAATTTCTTCTTTTTTGACTAAATTTTTCAAAAAATTTTACTATATTTCCATTTTTTTTAAATAAAAAAACATTTTTTAACCCATCTTATGAAGCTAAATACAATTCTGTATTAATATAATTTAAATTAAGCTTCTTTGATAGGGAGCGCCTAGTTTTTGGGGGCACATATTTTAGTAGTGTTCCTCTTCATACCCAACTAATTTCAAGTTTTTATTATATCTATTTTGATTTTCCATTTTTTTCTCTCATTTCTGCCACACCCATCACTACTCCATTGATGCTCAACACTGAACTATAAATATGTTTTTTTTATTATATAAACACTTGCAAGATTACAAGTTTTACCATTTTTATTTAAAATAATCCTGTTCTATAAACATTCATTTACTTTTATTTTTGATTTATCACAATAGCTCCTCACGCTTCTGAAACAAAATATATTTAGTATTATGATATAAAGACATTGATATACTAAAAACATTTTTTTGGTTGATATTTTTAGTTTAGACACTTGTTTGAATTTGATTTGCCATGATCTATTTCATAAATTTATAATAGCACAACTTATAATTTTTTAAAAATTCTCTTAAGGGGGTGGGTAATTTTATATAATTTCTTCACTTATGTGTATCTACTCACAAATTTAATGAAACCTTGCTTACTCCCACCATTGAAGGAAGCACTGAGTTAATATAAATACATCTAGTATTGTGCCAATTCACAAAAATTTTACTGATCCAATACCAATCTGATATTTAAATAACTTCATCTTTCAATCAATGATTAAGTGCATTTTGTGATTTTTATTAAAAAGTTAATATCATTTTAAATATGGGCAATATTCACATTGGGTGAATATGATTCATTCATTATCCTGAAATCCTATTCTTTTTGCAGATACAAAAAATTAAATTGATAATTCTATCTACTGAAATATTGCGATTTCTGGCTTGCATATTGGTTATATAGTATCTATACTTTGTATAAAAGAAATCATAATCTAATGCTCTAGCTCAATTAAACCCAGAGTATGGGCTATCAAAGTCCAATGAGAGCCTTTTCTTGTGTTAACAAATCTCAAATTACTCAATTTTTTAGTCCAAAGTCACAAATATAGTTCTCAAAATCGTCCTTGAAAAAATAACAAAATCATTTTAAAAATATTTTCAGTCTTTTATATTTCAGGTAATACAAAGAAAATTATCTGGTGAAGGGCCGATTAGAAATGACGAAACTGGCCAAATATGTTTATTACTATAATTAAATATTTATGGTGAAAATAAGAATTTAAATTTTATTTAACCTTTATAGTTTTAGGAATATAAAAACTATGAAATTCTTTAATATTTAATTTAAAATGTTAATGGAATTAAGAATTTAAATATTATTTAGATTTATAATTTTAGGAATAAGAAAATAAATTATATGTTATTTTTAAAAAATTATAATAAATTTTCTTTTTGATATATTTTTACCTAAATATTTTATATTAGTAATAAACATATTTGGTGAGTTTAATCATTTTAAATTAAGGCTTTCTCAAAATAATCTTGGTATTTTCTAAAGGAAATTTTAAGTGCTATAAAATGATATATGATTTATAACATTGGACTTAATATTTATAGCAAATTTAAAATTATTAAAACCAAGATGCCTTTAACTATTTTCTTAAAGTTATAATTAGTTGGATTATTTAGTAACTTATAAATATGTGAATATTATAATTGGTTCAAGTAGGTTCTGGTTCTATTTCTTATAAATTTTAAAAGTGGGGTTCAGGTTTCTAGATTTTTAATAGCACTGAAGCTTTTATTTCCTGTTTCTAATTGGTGTATCTTTTTAAAGCTCCAGCATAGATTTTTTCTTTTTAGGGCCAATATTTTTCCAAAACTAATTAGTTGGATTATTTAGCAACTTTTAAAAATATGTGAATATTATAATTGGTTCAATAGGTTCTGGTTCTATTTCTTATAAATTTTAAAAGTAGAGTTCAGGTTTCTAGATTTTTAACAGCACTGAAGCTTTTATTTCCTGTTTCTAATTGATGTATCTTTTTTAAGCTCTAACATAGATTTTTTCTTTTTAGGGCTAATATTTTTCCAAAACTAATTTTGTGGACCAAGGTGAATAGGTTTAAAAGGTGTTAGCAATATGGGTTGGTTAAATATACTTGAAGAATAATTGCATATGCAAAAAAATCTTATTTAATTATTATTGAACCATTATTTGTATGTTGTCTTTTATTTAGTCATTAACTTTTTAGAGGAGGCTTATTATAAAATTTATCTTTAAAAAATTACATTATATCATTACCCTCTGTTACTCTATTTTTAAGTTAAATTGATGAGGAACACTTCTATGTATTCAAAATGTTCATCAGAGGAAGTTAATTAAATACTTGTTAACCTTAGTGAGTAAAAATTTTTGGTAGTTTTTTTTGTTAGTTAGGTTGAACATTATTAAACCTTTATACTATAATAAAAACCTTAGACATAACAGCTGTATAAGGGCTGGTAGAGCATACTAATATTATTTAGTTGGATATAATTGATAATCTTAATTGTATAAAATATAATATAATTGTAATATTGGTTTTGATTTATGGTTTCAGACAAATACAGCTTTTATCACAATAAATTTTTTACAGCTCCATGTTTCGCTACTCCCCCATGGGCCCTGGTGCTGACCCAAATAACACAGCAGCAGCCTTGCTCTCCAATCCATTAATTCCTGGTGGGCCATCTGGAGGTGGTCCAGGCGGACCTGGTCCTCAATGCCCGCAAAATTGGTGCGTTTTCGCTTATAATCTCCCACCCGAAACCGAGGATAGCACTCTGTGGCAACTCTTTGGCCCATTTGGAGCTGTTACCTCAGTCAAAGTCATTCGAGACTCCCAGACCCACAAGTGCAAAGGTATACTTACACTAATTTATTTTAAGTATGATATAAAATGGGGGTTATAAAATATTTTATAACCTATAATCATAAATTGTGAATAAATTTTGTCCAAAAATATTAACTTATTTACAGGTTTTGGGTTCATTAACATGCCCAACTTTGACGAGGCCCTTATGTCCATCCAAACGCTCAATGGGTATGCTTTGGGAAACAGGGTTCTACAGGTTTCATTTAAAACGAACAAACGAGCCTGACCCACTATCTCCTCTACAAACGATAATCCACTATTGAAGCAAAACTTTTGTATAATGTCGCGAACATAATTGTAACAATATTGTCTAGCCAATTTCACGTTTTACAATTTATTTTCCGAACATTTTCATTGGCCTGCTTTCTTTTTAGTGAACTCATCTTTTTTTTTGATATTATATGATATATAAAATTTTATTAGGTCCACTTTAATACTATATAATATTCCCTCAATTTTTTATACAAATATTTTTGATATAAGGAACCTCAAAACATCTTGAAAAATGATTTTTGATAAAAAAAAAATATCAGAACAACGTATTACCTTTGGTTTCGCTGACATGAGACTTAAAATATATCCTATATAATATATAATAAATATATTAATTTAAACAAAAAAGATTTTAGAATTTTTTATATAAGATAAAAAAAAATTAAATTTTATATAAAATATGTAAATAGACTAAATATTTAAAATTATATTTATATAATTGCGTATGGATGTATCTGACAAATAAATTATGATATTAGGAATAGAAATTTAAGCCATATTTCCTTGGAGATTGTATAGTTAATAGAAAAGAGGGCAACCAGACTGTAGTTAATCTGGATAAGATTTTAATTGGATTCGATTTGTCAAGAATTTTTTCTAATAAAAAGCCTAAGTTCCATTTATGTTCAAAAGGTTATAGTTTGTTAACCAATTTTATATTTGAGTTTTATTTTTAATTTCTTCATTTAAGATTTGAAAGCTTTTTACGTTATACTTTATAATTACAAAATATATCATTTTTTTAAAAAATAAATAATTTGATTTGGATTGTATTTTAAAAATTTTTTCTTTTACATTTTTATGATATCATTTTTTTTCTTTTTTATTATAATATTCCTTGGATTTCAGAAATTTATTTTATTCATTGATTTAATTTTTTTTGCACCCCCATTACACTTTTATTTTTTTGGATTTTCAATGATTTTTTCCTTTAATTTTTTTTATATTTTGAAGAAAAAAAAACAAAAAAAATATTTAATATAATTTTTTCATTTTTTTTAAAGAAAAATATTTTTTTAAATATTCATCATAATCCAATTATAGATTTTTATTTCATATTTTTTGTCAAAAAAAATTGTTTGCATCAACCATAATTTGAATTTGAGATTCACTTAAGGTTGTTCTAACAATATTTTAATATTATATTATAATATATTTAATTTTTTTAAATAATTTTTTTTTTTCAATTTTAAATATTGTTTTTATATTTTTCACCATTATTTTATAGTTTTTTTTATCGCAACTGGCAAAGTATCAGTTATGTTGTTGGAAAGGCTTACTCGAGAGTACAATCTTTGGTATGATTCTGGTTATACCTATTTTTGATATGGTTATAGATTATATATTAAATTATAAAAACAAAATAAAAAACAATATTGACAACGTAAACAAATTTATATTTTATAGGCGAATTTTGATATGGTTTGTGATAAAAAAAAATTAGAAAATTAGGTTAAAGGCAATAAAAAAAATTTAAATATCGTGTCTTGTCTATCTTTTTATCGTTAGCGTTCTTTGCAATAAGAGAAACGCGTTACTGTTAATTAACAAAAAAAATTTGACGCAGATATAATAACCATTAATTTTTGAAATTGCAAATTTTCTTAGAAGAGTATCTAAGAATTTCATTTGACTAAAATTTCAACATATATATAATTTATTTATTTTTTATTGCATCTCAATAATAACATTTTCATTTGGTCTATTTTTAAAAAATATTGTAGATTATTCTTCTTCCAATCAAAAAAAGATAATATTTTTCCGAATCGAGAAATTTAATCTATCAAACTTCCTAATTGACCTTTTCAACTTTGTCATTTTAGAAATCCATTATTTCAAAAAGATAAAAGGTTCAGAAGCTGTTCTGTTATTATCGTTGTTTAATATTTATATCTTTCACTGTCAACACTTTTATAAGATTCGTTATTATTATCATCATTTGGTCTTATTGGGTTCATTTTATTTTGTTTTAACTTTATATTTTATTTTTAATATTTTTTTAATCGTATTTTTATTTAAAATATTTTTAACTTAAATATTTAATTTATAAGTTTTGAAACTTAATTTTAACCCTTTTAATTGCTAATTTTTCAATAGTCTTTTTAAAAACTTTCCCTTCTTTTTGAAATAACTTTCTGAAAATCTTAAGCATTTTGATTTTGATAGATTGACATTTTTAGAATCATATTGAAGAATTTCAAGGTTGATGGATAACATTTTCTTCATATCACATTTTATTATTATCCTTATAAAACTAACTATACTAGAATATTTATAATCATTCTTATCTTTTGTCTTAGCTGTAGATTTGATATTGTCTTTATTTTAATCTATTTTCATTGAATTTTGTTTTTTTTACTCTTGGGTTCATTATCGCTATTGTTATATTATCTTTTTAATCCCTAGTGCGCCCTCTCCTTATGTCTGAGGCTAATGTCAATTTCACTTTCTCAAACGTTCTCTTCCACAAAGTCTAAAAATTAAGATCTTCAAATAATTTGTCTAGCCATCTAAGTATCCAAAATTATGGAAATCAAATTTGTCCCATACACTTAATTATAATTGTTTTTTATGAAAAATATCATTGTTTATGTAATCTAGATAAGACATTTATTTATATATTATTTATCTTTATTAACATTGTTTATATTAATTATATTTTTTTTAGATAAATGAAATGTGTTTACATTATTTTCATACATCTTTTGGTAAGATTATGTTAGCCAAATTACCATTGGTTTTTGGTTATCTTTTTTTTATTCATCTGTCATATTCGATTGAATTTTATTTATTTTAAATAAATTTTTATAGTGAGATATTATAAATATATAGAATATATATTTTAAATTTGTTAAATATATATTTTGATTAAAGATTCAAGCATTAAATTTTATGCTCAGTTAATATGTAATAAGAACCACAGCCCATAAATAAGGAAATAAGTTACCATTGAGAAAGAATAAAATTTATATTTCATAAAGATATGCAATCTAAGTAAAAAAAAACAATTGTAAATTACAATATGCAAGGCATCTTTATAATCCATAAAGATTTTTCACCCTATACATTTTTATATAGTTTCAAAGATTGATCATTTATTTTTAAATTGCTATGTTTTATATTAACTTATCATCACTATAATTAGGTGATGGTGATATTTTACATTAAATAGATAGTCACATCGGATTCATTTCAGATATCATTATCATTAATTTTTCTATTTTTAATTTTTTGTCATTGTCTAAACCCATACCACATCTAATTCGGTGACCTATGACAGCTTTCAATTGTTCATCTATAAGAGGATCTTTTGAATATTGTATGTATGATCTTGACCATTTTAATAAATCATGAATTAACTAAAAATATTATATAAACACGAAATGCCGAATACATCCCTTAAAAAAACAATTTTGTTTCCCGAAGCCCGAAAGGTTTCCTATTTAAAGGATTTCACTTTATAAATATTAAAAATATAAATTTATTCGCTTTTGTTTATTATTTTATTTATCATGTAACATAGGTTATACATGAATAAAAATATCAGAGTTGTACAAAAGATCTTCTTTGAAGATTTTTGAGCAAGATCAATTAAAATTTCAGTGAAGATATACAATAGGAAAGTAACAATTGTCAATCGTTATTTTTTTTAACTTTTTGGAATTTTTTTAAGACAAATGGGTAAAAATAGATATTATTAACATGTTAAATTAAAATTTCAGTGAAGATGTACCTCAGGAAAGTGACAATTATCATAATCGTTATTTTTGAACTTTTTTGATTTTTTTTATATATAACATAGAAAACTGACAATTGTCATATGTAATATTTTTAAACTTTTTTAAAATTTAAACAAGTAAAGATATTTTGAAAATTATTTATTATTTCAAAATTATGGAAAATATATATTGTTAACCAGGTTTGTTTTCAGAACGGTCCTACCCAGGGTTGCCAGGTCAAAATTTTCAAATTCGGGAGAAATTTGGTATTTTGCGGGAGAAATATATAAAAAATTTGCTAAAAAAGCTTAATTATCCGCTTATTATTTTTTATATTTTTTCGAAATAAAATAACATCTTGATTTATTAAAATATATTCATTTATAAAAAAGAATGTAAACAAGATAAAATTTTATAAAAAAACAAACGATTATAACTTTACAACGTATCACGTTTAAATATATAATAAGGTAATATTGTACTCATTTCAATGATAATTATTTTATTTATTATTGTTCAATTACATTATTATAATCATTGCAGGAGAGTGTATCTTAGAGGTCTGTATTGGTGGGGTCTCCTTGGGTAAAAATTTTTTAAGAACGGGAAGGCGGGCGGGTTAAAAATTTTTTCTTACGAACTTAAAAAATAAAAAGCCTTTTTCTGGTATAACTTTTTATAAAATAAATCAACTTTTTTCTTCAATTAAAAAAACTTTTTCTACAATTAAAAACAAACTTTTTTTTATAAACAAATTAAAATCTCCTTTTATGGTAATGAAGTAAAACTTTTTTCTTAAAATATATAATTTTTTAGATATTGAAAATTAGGTTAGGGTACCTTTTCAGGGGCAATTATTTTTGTTATTTTTTAATGTTATTTTTTTATGCGATTTTTTGTTATTTTTTTATGCGATTTTTTTTATGTAATTTTTTTATGAAAACTATTGTTTTTATGTTATTTTTTTATGATTGGTTTATTTTCTTATTGGTTAATTTTTTATTTAAGATATTTTTAAATTAATATATCTTTTTTTATTAAAGATATTTTAAAATGATTTTTTCTAAAATTTAAAATTCGTACAATTATTTAAAGGAAGTGATGGGGGCAAATAAGGGAGAAGGCTAGGGGTAAGGGGTAAAATTATTAGATTATGTACAATGCGGGTAGGTTTGGGGTTAAATTTTTGATAGATGAAACTTCGCTATTTAAAATTTATTTGGTTGATTCTTTCTATACAAACTTAATATGATTTCTTCTAAACAAACTTAATACGATTCCTTCTATACAAACTTAATATGATTCCCTCTATAAAAACTTAATATGATTTCTTCTAAACAAACTTAATACGATTCCTTCTATACAAACTTAATATGATTCCCTTTATACAAACTTAATATATATGATTCCTTCTATATGAACTTAATATGATTTCTTCTATACAAACTTAATATGATTCCTTCTATACAAACTTAATATGAATAATTTTTTCTAAAATTTGTATAAAGAATTTAATTTTTTTTAGTGATAACACTATAATTAAAGGAAGATTCCAAA